AGTTTGATACCTCCGTGGCCCAGCTCACCAACCACAGGTTCAAAGTAGAATTGGAGGAGAATGGCTATCGCATCAGCCTGGAGGCAAGCGATGCCCCCTCCGGCTTTTATCATTACGGCAAGAAAACATCGGTTGATGGTCCGACCGAGGGCAATTATAATTTTGATCGCCTTATTCCCTACGGTGAATATGCGAACCAGGTACCGGGACGCTTTCGTTTGGTAATGAATCCCGGCTCTGAGCGGCAAGGAGAAAGCGACTACCACTTCGTTTTCAGAACTTATATCGACATTGCAAAGAGCCTGGCCAAAAATATAAGCATATCCCAAGAAAGCGACAAGGGCTCGCTCATCGTTTTGTCGGCCGAAGGCCCCATTCAGGAAAAACTGGAAGACTTCCTCAACACCACCATCAGAGAGTTGCAGCAATACGAACTGGAACGCAAAAATCAAATGTCGGTAAACACCATCAAGTTTATTGACGAGCAGTTGGGTTATATCGTTGACACCCTGACCTCAGCCGAGGATGAGCTGGAGGAGTTTCGCTCCAACAATCAGGTGGTGGATCTCACCTCGGAAGCCCAGGAGGTATATACCCAATACGTGGAATTGGAGAAGCAAAAGGCCGAACTGCAATTGCAGGGGGAATACTTCCGCTATCTGCAGGATTATATCAACAACCAAGACAATTACGGAAATTTAATGATCCCCAGCGTGGCGGGGGTTGACGACCCGGTTTTGTTGGGTTTGATAGAAAAGATTATTCAATTGAGTGCCGAGCAAAGCAAATTGCAATACAGCCTGGAGCCCAATAACCCGGCCCTCCTGCAATTGGACGATCAGATCGATAAAGTGAGGCGGCAATTGCAACAATCGGTTAAAAATGTAATCGAACAACACCAGTTGCGCATGCGGCAGGTAAACCAGCAAATAGACCGCATTACTTCGCGTTATGCTAATTTGCCGCAAACCGAGCAGAAATTGATCAACCTGCGCAGAAAATACGAGATGAGCAATCAGCAGTACATTTACCTGATGCAAAAGCGGGCCGAGGCGGGCATCATGAAGGCGGCCAACACGCCCGATACGCAGGTAATTGACCCCGCTTTTTATCACGGACAAGCGCCCATTGCCCCGAATCCCATGCGCAATTATGCCATCGCTTTAATGCTGGGATTGATCCTGCCGGTTGGTTTTGTGTTTTTATCCGACCAGTTTGACACCAAGGTGCGGGATTACAGCGATGTGGAAAAACAGGTTCGGATTCCCATCCTGGGCGGGGTGGCCCACTCGGAAAAAAACACCAACCTGGTGGCGCTGGAAAATCCGAAAAGCCCCATTTCTGAAGGCTTTCGGGCGGTGCGTTCTAATTTGCAGTTTTTGTTTAAAGGCAAGGGGGACGGTGCCAAAACCATGTTAATTACGAGTTCTATTGGGGGCGAGGGCAAAACTTTTTGCTCCATAAATATGGCTTCTATCATTGCCATGGCGGGTGCCAAAACGGTATTGGTGGGGGTTGACTTGCGCAAACCCAAAATTTACAATGACTTTAACCTCACCAATGACAAGGGTCTGACAAGCTATTTGATTGGCAAACACGCCCTCAACGATGTGGTGCAGCCCTCGGGCTACGAAAACCTTGATATTATTTCGGCCGGCCCGATTCCGCCCAACCCCTCGGAACTCATTCTATCGGATAAGTTCAAAACATTTTTAGATACCTTAAAGCAGTCTTACGATTATATTATACTGGATACGCCCCCGGTGGGGATTGTGGCGGACAGTATGCAGATTATGTCTATGGCCGATGTAAACCTATACGTGGTGCGGCAAGACTATACGCCCAAAGCGGCCCTGCAATACATCAGCGATCAGTACAATAACAAACGCGTGGAAAACCTCAGCATTTTGTTTAATGATGTTCAGGCCAAACGCGGATACGGCTACGGCTATGGCTATGGCTA